GACCAGATTGGGTTCCTGTAGCATACCAGCTTTGGAGCATCCGAACCTCACCCTGACAGGCAGGCATCGAGCGCAACCACCTGCACAGGGACAGAAGTATTCCCATTATACTGGATTGCTTGATATCCCCTATGGGGCCTCCTGCAGCCACATCTATGTGATTATTACTAGGGATGCACTGATACCGATACTAATATCAATATTGGTGCCGATACCAAATATTTGGGCGAGTACTGGTACTCCCGATGCCTAGCCCGGTACCGGAACTACCAGTATCAGGAAGTCGGGCAGCGAGTTACTACACGATGCCAGCTTCCTGATTTGCCGGGAAGCGGGCTTCATGCTCCCTCGTCAGAGGGAGCATGGAACTGTCTTCCCTTAAGGGAGCATGGAGCTGGCTTCCCGGCCAATCAGGAAGTCGGGCAGCTTGTAATGACTTGCCGCCCAGCTTCCTGATTGCTCGGGAAGAAGACTCAAAACAATGGGAGAAGGAAAAACGAGGACAAATCCCGGGAGAGATCCGAAATTTTGCAGAACAGACAAATAATATAATCACCAGGTGATGAGGGAGCATGGAGTCGGCTTTCTGGCCAATCAGAAAGCCGGGCGGCTAATAACTCGGTGCACGGCTTCCTGATTGGCCAGCTTCCCAAGCAATCAGGAAGCTGGGCGGCAAGTCATTACATGCCCCCCGGCTTCCTGATTGGCCAGAAGCCCAACTTCATGCTCCCTCATCTCCAGGTAACCAGCATGGAGCCGGCTTCCCGGCCAATCAGGAAGCCAGGCGCCATGTAATGACTTGTCGCCTGGCCTCCTGATTGCTCGGGAAGCTGGCCAATCAGGAAGCCAGGCGCCAAGTCGCCCCCCAGCTTCCTGATTGGCCAGAAAGCCGGCTCCATGCTCCCTCATCACCTGGTGATTATATTATATCTCTGCTCTGCAAAATTTCGGATCTCTCCCGGGACTTTTGTCCTCGTTTTTCCTTCTCCCATTTTTGGAGTCTTCTCTCCGTCCAATCGAATCCCTTGCTTTAATGAGGCGCAGGTGACGGAACGACGCTGAATTCTGGAAACATTCCGTGAAAGTCTTTTGCTTCCATCAGTTGCTTTGATGTGTCTCTGAAGTTGTGTAATTTGTTTTCTCCGGTATATTTTCCTCGCTCGCAGTCGTTGTTTGGTTTAATGCGCTCTCGGGGGAATTCGGGACAGAGGAGAGCTGTGCAAATGTGAGATTACACGAGAATTATTAGACGCAGTGATGAAATCTTTGCTGCCTCTTACACAATCACAACATTCTGGAGGATGCTCATTCGATGGCGGCGGAGAATCCAATGTCTGCTCCGAAGGTATTAGAGACTGGAGAACAGGAGAGCTGGGTATATTAAAGGGGGACTCCACCCACAGCTGTTGTATCAGGGTTGCACTGTTGCTGATCATACGCTGGCTCCGGATCATGATTTGGGCTCCGGATCTTCTCATGGTGGGAATGTTGCTTTTAGTCATATAAGGTAAGTATGGACTTTTTGGGGCAATGTAGCTTTTACAGTGGTGGATTAGGAGTTAATTTTTAGGCATGGGTGTGTCTAATCCCAAAAAGCAAAAATGGAATATATTGCAGCCAGTCCTTAGATGCGTTGGGTGCATCTGTTCTATTTTTCAGGATTAATTTTATTTCCACCTGCCGGTAACACACTTCCTGTCCTAGGGTGACAACGCTCACTCATTGTACTGTATTTATATTGGAGGATTTTAGAGGCTGTACTTCCCTTCCCTTTTCCATCTTCAATACATAGGAAGGGTGGGTATTGTAGATCACAAAGTATAGCTAGAAAAGATAACTGTGCTGTCTCAATGGAGGATTTGGACCACAAATGGGTCCCTCCTCTCTTCATCTCTATTACATGGGGTCAGGGAGTTTGTAGTTTGCAGAAGATTTAGCAGATAAAAGTGTTTGATGTATCGGTTCTGTGCAAGTTACGCGGACACTCAGGACTGTTCCTTTAATGAAGCAGCCTAAGGCTGTTGCCTCAGGTGGCATTTCTTTGGGTCATGTGGGGGGAGGCAGGCAGAGCGGCACAATGTTTGCAGTGTGGCTGCCTCCCCCTTTCTGGCCAGAGCATCCCAGGTTGCTAAGAGCCAGGCTGGGAGATGTGTGAAGGCTCTACATCTCTACGCCCAGCTCCCAGCAACCTATTATGCTCTTGCCAGCATCCCGTCGAACTCCTGGCGACCAGTGATGTCACTGGTTGCCGGGAGCTCGGCGGGACGCCTTCCAGAGCATCACAGGTTGCTAAGAGCTGGGTGGGGAGATGCAGAGCCCTTACACATCTCGCAGCCCACCTCTTAGCAACATCACTCTCCACCAGCACCCCCACTGATTGTGTGCACCATCAAGCACCCTCCCCCTCAGGTGGCAAAAAGTCTAGGAACACCCCTGAGGACAGTGCAATATAAAAAATGTCCCCTGATGGAAATTCATCCTTTATCATGTCATCCAGGGATGTATATCCATCATCAATCATGATGAGTAATGATCTGCTGATGTGATGACCCGTGTCATGATGACCCTCTCCTGCTGCACCTCCGTCACTAAATGACACCTCCCTGGCTGGCTGCTGAATGTCAAAAACCGAACTGCGATGCTGGCTGGCGTCATTGACAAAACATGGCCATGAGCATATTTGGTAAATGATGTCATCCAGATGCCTGCTGGCTTGCTTACCATTTGAAACAAGCCAATGTGTGGCCTAAAGCTATCACTTAGCGAAAGTGACTGATAGGTCCACTTTAAGAGCCATTTTATAACCTCCTGTGTTTTTTAAATGTTCAGTTCCACATGGCATGGGATCATGCAGTACCCTTAGGGGATGCATATCGGGAAAGAGTTATTTGCATAACTACAGCCGACAAAAACATGTCAGTGGAATTTGTACCCTTGAAAATAAAAGAATGGATTTTTCCTGATTTGTCTGTGCGGTTTAAAGTGAGCCGCCAAGTGGCGATGGTCCCCAAGGGTGTCAGGCTGACCATTTTGTAGCAGCAATTAGCTGCTGGTGACTTGATGGTAAGAATCAATGTCTCAGTGCAACAGGTTAAAGAAATGCTGTGTTGGGCAGCACAGTGGCTTCATGGTCAGCACATCTACCTTGCAGCATTGGGGTCCCTGGTTTGAATCCCACCCAGAACACTATAGTCATGGAGTTTGCATGTTCTCCCTGTGCTTGTGTGGGTTTGCTCCTAAACTCCAAAGACATAAAAGGTAGGTTAACTCTAGTATAGCATTTCTCAACCTTCTTTTAGTCATGTATGCAAATCTCGAGGAACCCCAGTCCAAAATTTCATAGACGTTAAGGGGGACTCCATTGAAAAACACCCTAAAAAGTGGGTCTCCCCCTTCAAATTAAAGTGCCCCTTCAAATCAAAATGTTTCCCCCTTCACATCAGAGTCACCCTTTCACATCAGGGAGGAGCCCCCCGCTCCACATCAGAAGCCTCACTTTTATATAAGAGTTCCCCTTATACATCAGGAGCCCCCTTCACCTCGGTCTTCATTCCCCCTTCACATCACAGTCCCACTACCAAAAAATCTTGGGGCACCCCTGAGGAGGCACACCAGTCTGCCAAGGCACCGTGGTTGAGAAAGGCTGCTCTGGTATATCTGGTAAATGTGTGCGCATGTATGTGAGATAGGTACCCTAGATTGTAAGCTCCACAAGGGCTCGTTCACACCATCCAGTGCATTAATCGCACAGTCCCATGGCATAGACGCACTGGATCTCTTAATCAAACCCTCCCCGCGATTTGGGGCCGGAGGGCTGCAACCAACTAATCAATTAATCGATAATAATCAGTAATGAGAATAATTGTCAACTGTTCTCATTATCGATTAGTTGGTTGGCTCCCCTACCTCTCTCTCCACGCTGGGAGTAGGGCACAGCAAGCAGTGGGCGGGTGCAATAGCCAGCCTGCTTCTCTATTGCAATTTGAAATGGCCAATAGCAGGCACCTGCCGACTACCTGCTGTATCATTCAGCTGTCGTCTGCGGAATCTTGCCCCTGGCAGCTGCCATTCCCGGGTTGAACCTATTCAAGCGCCATGTGCTAATTAATTAAAAAAATAATCGGCCAACTATTTGATTATGAAAATAATCATTAGTTGCAGCCCTATTATTTTGTGCACCACAGTGGAACGCAGGGCATTGCGGTATCACGCATTCCGGTGCGGGTGATCGAAGCGCAGGGGTGAGGCGTGTCTGCGGTGCTTTTGAAATGAGTGGAACCACCACGCCCCCTCCCGCCCCAGAAGGTGGGGAGGGTTTGATTAAGCAATCCAGTGCCATCCATTGCATTTATGCCATGGGACTTTGCGATGAACGCACTGGATGGTGTGAACGGGCCCTGTGGGCATGGACTGATGTGAATGTGCAGTATGTAAAGCACTGCGTAAATGATTGGCGCTGTATAAATACCAATAATAAATAAAAATAATCTTCATGTGGGCGCGCTCTGCTACTAATCGTAGCTAAGCCATAGAAATGAAGAGCGATGGACGCTGACACAAGACGCTGCTCAAACTCATTGGCTGAGCTACAAAACGCAATTAAATGAGCAAATTAGCGATTCCATTTTTGTTTTTTTAATGAAAAATAGGATTGATGCAAATAATTCGCCCATCTGATCTGGCTCTTAGTGTGGACCTGGAGGGGGCAGTAAGTGGCATCCTCCCTGCTTACATCACGTAGTCACAGTGGTACCTCTGCTGTGTCCTCTGCCTCCTCATTAGTCTCTCTGCTGCCTCTCCCTGAAGTCTGTGTTCTGCGCAGCATCCTCTATTCCCGGGTACCGGGCACGGCTCAGGGCCGGGCATCTCACCCTCCTCCTCTGTCTGCAATCTGCTGGGAGGACCCGGCGGCACAGCGATCCATGCCCGGCCATGAAGTTCCAGCGCTGGGCGTTCAGCGGCACACAGGGCATCTCTAGGACGGAGCCCCGTCACCCCCACATGCCGCCGTACCCCGTCCTCAGCTGAGACGGTAAGATTCGCTGAATATCCCGGTTTATTCGTGTCATTCTGATAGAGATCATACATGGCATTCCTGTGTGCTCACAGATCAGCGCTGCTGGAGCTGTTCAGGGGCTGGGGCTGCAAGGCAGAGGACATAGAATTGTGACAATGTAGCTGGAAATACGTGGACATATCAGGGGGGTGAGATGGGGAGAGAGGAAGAGAGATAGTATATACAGGGAGGGAGAGAGAGAGGGAGGTGGGGAAGAGAGAGAGTATATACAGTGAATATATAGAGGGGAGAGAGAGAGAGAGATAGTATATACAGTGTACATACAGAGCGAGATATAGTGTATCTATAGG